CCTGAACACTGCCAGGGATGGAGCATTTACCACATTTTGGGCAAACATGTCCAAGGTGGTCTGATGCCTCCTGTCTGGTATGTGCCTTCTATCACGGATTTGAGCTCTTCATATTTATAGTGTGCCCTGTGTGGAGAGAGGCAAAGATGACTTAGAACTGGTTTTGTGTGTCCTTGTTGGGTTTCTGACCTGTAAAGAGTTAAGAGTGGGCTTCCTCTACTACTCAAAACATGATGACTGCTTTCCCCTGATAAATATTGGCTTGGCCAATATTGTTATTGGCAGTTTTTCCTGCAGCATGGAACCATCCTTCAAGTCTACCCTTGACTTCCCTGTTGGGTCCCTTTGGGCAGGACTTTGGGAAAAGCTGTGTCCAGGGATCTTCCTTTGAGGTTCTGATGTCTTTTATGTCAGAGCAGCTGGATTAAAAGAGCTGTGCCAGAAGAGACAATGTTTTCTCAGGTGTTAATTCTGCAGTTCCCAGGACTCGTTTCATACATGCTGACAGCTGGGAACTTTGTGGGATACTGTCTTAAAGGGGCCTTTGAACCCAGCCCACTGGGATTCTCAGAGGTGGGAACCAGATGCAGACGTTTCAGGCATCCACAAATTCCATAACCAAGGGGAGTGTTCTGCTTTTCTCAATACCAGCAGGTCACTTATGCAGACCTGTTAGAAATCCATTTACACAGCCCGCTGCAGGCACCCCAGGCTGGAGACTTCAGCTGCTGCTTTTCCTTCTGCTGCCTGTTACTTAGGTGATCATGAACAGAGATGTTTCTAAAGCTATAGTACATTGACAGATTTACCTGCTGTGTCCTGCCACAAGCAAGAGCACTTGTGAAAGATGATAGTAATATTGCTGTTCACTTTCATTTTATGCAGCCCTTTCTAAACTCTTCAAATCCACTTTTATGCAGACCAGGAGAGAGAAAACTGCTTTTATTAATGAAGTGGCACTCTCTTTGTTCCAGTTTCCCTGGTTGTGCGTATTACCTTGGCTGCTATGTGTGCTTGGCTCTCTGTTGCCATTCTTCTCTAATGTGGTGGTGATGCGGGACAACCAGATGGTATCCAAACCCCTGTTTTAGAGGGCTTTCTCCTCTTGGTTGAGCAACCCTAGTAACTGAAGTCAAGGAAGCTCTATTGTGCACTGAGGAATGTGGTGGGAAGCTGCTGTGCCCTTCCTAGCACACTCTGTGTTGGCATGAGGGAACCGAGGGAGCAAAGACCGACTTATTTAAAAGATCTCTCCATCTTCCTCCCACAAAGCAATAACATTGCATAGCGAGTGTCATACCTGCTCTGCCGGCCGACAGCTCCTATGGGTATTTCATTGTGCCCAAACCAATCCACAGAGCTTACATAAGTGTCTTTCTGTCCTATTCCATGTCAGAGGAATTTCAAATTGAAATCCCAGTGCTGTGGGATATTGCCTGATCCGATTAGAGAGGCAAGTATCGTTACTGCTGTAGCACCAGTGCTTCTAGACTGTTGTACCTAAGTCATAGTTTCTGACATATTATTGTGTGTGAAGGGTATGGATATGAGGTTAGAGGCTATATTTATTGCTGTAATTTTGTATTATTATTAGTTACTAGGTTTGGGGAAAACGCTGTTTCATAGCATGGAAAAAACCTGACTTTCAAGCCTATGGAAGGAAAGCATGTTTTCATTTTGCAACGTTGATTTGCTGTATCACCATGTATGCACAAATGTCCATGCATTGACATCACTGCCAGTAAAATCTCCAGCGTGGTCTCCAAATGGAATAATGGCATCAGCTGTGGTAGGGCAAAGCCAGTCCCCTCCTCCATCCACTCAAAACCAGCCTTTGGGCTTGCTACAGCCCGAGGTTGTTCAGAGCAGAGTGTGTGCAGGGGGGTGTTTGCCAAGGGCTGTGCTGGACGACAGTTAAGCACGTCTCCACATGGGATTGTTTAAACTACTGTATTCAATCTCTTTTTAACATTAAAAGCACCAGACTGCCTGCCAGCCCCCAGACATAGCCATGTGTGCGCTTGCTGGGGTGTCTGGTGAAGCATCAGCCTTACATTTGGCTTTGCAATAGCCTTTAAACAGGTCTGGGAGTCTTTTCCCAGGAGGACTCACAAAATCCCAGGTTCTTTGCTTTATTCATGAAGGTTTCCTAACTTCCTCTGGTTTGTCTTTGTTGTGGACTCTTAACACTGCTCTAAAAGACCCGCTTTGTTCCATAGAGGCTTTAGCGCTCACTGGAAGCTCCCTGAGCCCGCAGGGCTGGAACAAAGAGGGCAGGCTTCATGCCCAGAGCCTGTGTGGAGGTGGGAGGGGGTGAATCCATGTGCCCATTGGCTTGGTTGTTCCATTCTGAGATTCAGCATAGACCGTCTTCTGGAGCGGAGAGGATGCATTTCTCCCTCATTATGACCCAGACAAGACATAGACATACATATATACATCTCTATGTAGTTTTAGTTTATTTGGGGGTTTTTAATGTTGTTTTTGAGTTTCTTTTTCCGCTCATCCTCATCACAGCCTCTTCCAGTACTTGGAAGCTCCTGCTGATGCTAAAGCACAGCCCAAATGTAAACTGCAACAACAACAAACTAACCTAGTACAGGACCTGTTTGTAAAAGTCCTAGAACAGGGATGATTCTTTCCGCACACGGCCGGTGTTGGCCAAAGGAGCCATTTCAGTTCTGTCTCTTCATCAGGAGGTGGTGCTGGCCAGCTGCACATCCCTCAGCGCTCCCTGCCAGCTCTGCACCAGCCGCTCACAAACGTCTCCATGGGAGGGCAGCGTTTCCACGGGGTCTCAGCCCAGCCTCAAACAGGAGCCCTGTTTTGCTAGCACGGTCACCAGTACCTCCTCAGCCATAGGGAAATGCCTTACCCGAGCTGCTCCAGCTTCTGATTGCAGACAGAAATGAGGTTTATGGGCAAAAACAAATTGGACAGGTTTGCATCGAAATATGGAAAACTCAGTGCACGGCTTTAAAAGGGGAGGTACCTGGAACAGAAGGACTTGTGAGGATGTGAAAGTACATAGAGGGAGTCCCCTTCTCTGAGTCCTGGAAGTGGAACAGAGAGGAAGGTTACAGGCATGATCCTTGTTCCTCTCCTCACCCCAGCATACCTACTGCTGGCTCTTGTTCAGCTTCCAACTGAAAACTTTTCATGCTGGATGTGGCCTTATAATGAGCATTCTAGTCATGAAGCGATCTGAAATGAGAAGTTAAAGAAAAGCACTGTTTATAACGGAGTCTTTACGTGGTTATGGGTGCCGGCTTTTTGTTTCTTTTATCATAATTTACAACTAGAAGGGACTGGTTTATAACCTCAATGTCCCTTTACACAAATCTGTAACTGAAATTGTCCTTTACATAACCTCATGGCCAGCGTTGCCCCATTGCTGTAAGGTGGCAGGCACTTCATTTGTTGTAGTCTCTGGCGACTGGCTTGTGGTAAAAGGAGTTATGAAGTGGAACTAGACAATAAATGGATCATGAATGGGCATACAGTAGACATGCAATAGACACCAGCTCGTTGTGGGGCTCCAGCTGAAGCAGAACTGTGGGAGTTTGCAGGAGTCACATGCACTTCAGAGTTGACTGAAACATAGAACCATAGAATCATAGAACAGTTTGGGTTGGAAAGGACCTTAAGATCATCCAGTTCCAAACCCCTGCCATGGGCAGGGACACCTCACACTAAACCATGGCACCCAAGGCTCTGCCCAACCCTTGAACACTGCCAGGGATGGAGCATTCACAACCTCCCTGGGCAACACATTCCAGTGCCTCACCACCCTTACAGTAAAGAACTTCTTCCTTATATCCAATCTAAACTTCCCCTGTTTAAGTTTTAACCCGTTACCCCTTGTCCTGTCACTACAGTCCTTAATGAAGAGTCCCTCCCCAGCATCCCTATAGGCCCCCTTCAGATACTGGAAGGCAGCTATGAGGTCTATCCCAGGTTATTTTTCATAATGCATATTTGCTTCCTGGAATTTTCCTTCCTTTCTTTAGATTTTGAATATTTATATAGTACCAACAATGGTTTTTAAAAGGTGCAAGAATGCAACCCACAGTAGGATACAGAAATGAGGAGGGAACTTTGCAGCCTGTCATCTTACAGTGTTATAATATAAGCTTAATGAAATATTTGTCTTATATTTAATATATAATTATAACCTCGTAAAACTTAACATCATCACCCAGGATTAAATCCTGTTGCTTGATCTGCTTTATTAATTCCTTTAGAAGTCTCTAGAGTGAGGTGTTTTAGATAAATGCACGCTGTTTGTAACATTTTAAATTCACTGTAAGAGGTAGCAAGTGCTATTTCTTGGTAGCCACAACTTCTTGTCAATAAAGGAACTTTACAATCACGGGAATTCACTTTTATGTTTCTAAATGCAGAATGATTAAATGGAATAGTTACATTGCCCAAGTTCTGGGCTGTTATATTTAAACTGTATACTGGGCTATTAGATAGAAACCTCTATACTGACTTATCTCACACTTACATATATTTATATATATAAAAAATCTGGGCTCTATGTAGAGAGATGCATTTTAGAATTATTTTTTTCTGTAGACACATAAGAGATCTGTCAGGGAAAAGACACAGCTTCCCAGAATGGTTTGGGTTAGTAGGGAGGTTAAAGTTCATTCAGTTCCAACCCCCTGCCATAGGCAGGGCCACCTTCCACTAGAGCAGCTTGCTCCAAGCCCCATTCAACCTGGCCTTGAACACTGCCAGGGATGGGGCAGCCACAGCTTCCCTGGGCACCAGTGAATAACTGTGGGTTGGAGATTGTTTTGGGCGGCTGTGTTAGTTCTACTCTGCTTTCCTATGGAACCAGTAAGAAAAATTCAAAGGGCAGAGCCAAGCTCTTTGATGATGCCCCAGCAATGCAGAGCTCTGTGGGCAGCGAGGTCCCCGGTCACTGTCAGTTTTTAAATTGGCTCAGGTCCTGCTGAAGGGTTCTGAATTCTGTGGCTTGTGTTTTCCAGGTGGGGCCGGCAGCGGGTGCAGGACTGCAGAGTAGCTCTCAAGCCATCCAGACCGCTGTGGGGCTCGAGGGCACCGTGCTGTCCCTGCCCTCTGGGGTGACTGCCAGCCGCAAAGCTGCTGTCCACGTGGACTGGGGCCGAAGTCTCTCGCCCGGCTGCTGCCAGAGCCTCGCCAGCCAAACCCAGAGACATGGCGACAAACGGGACCAAAGTGGCAGATGGACAGATCTCCACGGAAGTCGATGCTTCCATCACCAATGACAAGCCTAAAACCTTGGTAGTAAAAGTGCAGAAGAAGAAGACGGATCTTCCAGACCGAGACACTTGGAAAGGAAAATTTGACTTTCTTATGTCCTGTGTAGGTTATGCCATTGGCTTAGGGAACGTGTGGCGGTTTCCATACCTTTGTGGCAAGAATGGTGGAGGTATGTTTGCTGATTTGTTCTTACAACCTCTGATATATTTGTGCATTAGAATTCACCGTAAGATTTACCAGCAAAACAGAATTTGGGTTTAATAGCTTTTTCAGCTCTATAGGTGGGGTTTGGGTTGGGTTTCTTTGTTTTACACTTGCCCGGGAAGGTTGGAGCCATTTTGGAGTGTGATGCTCTGCTTTGAGGTCTGCTCTAGAGTGTACTCTAAATTGTAGTTGGCAGGTGCTCTTCAAAGACCATAAAGGATTAAAGCAGAACTAAAGCACATTGCCCTCTAACCCTTCAGAGCCCTCTCTTTTGGATTAAGTTCTTGAGAGGATTGCATACGGCTTGTCATACTGACTCTGAGCTCACTATGAAAAGCTAACTCCAGCTGGAAAGCAGCCAGTTCTTCTTAAAGCCTTTATGCTATCTGCATGCTCCTGAGATAGATGAAGGCAACAAAATACTCAGCCTTTGGGATTTTAACTTCTTACTTAAACAGAAAATATTTACATGATAGGAGATGCATTTTTCCCCTTATTTTCACCTTTTGGGATACTGGTTCAGAAATGTACACATGCTTTCCACTAACTCTTGGAAAGTTACACTTAAGAGTAAAGAAAAAGTGGGTTTCTTTTCACATATGATAGGGATAGAAACAGTGGAAACAGTTGTGTTTTTCTCCACTGGAACAGACCTTTTCTTTGTTTCTTTTTAGGTGCATTCCTGATTCCCTATTTCCTTACTTTAATTTTTGCTGGAGTGCCACTGTTTCTTTTGGAGTGTTCCCTTGGTCAGTATACATCCATAGGAGGCCTTGGAGTGTGGAAGCTTGCTCCCATGTTCAAAGGTACAGTGGGATCTGGGTAACTTCCTGTTTTCAAGTTGCAGAAGTTGCACAAAGCGACAGGGCAAGGATGTTACTTTAGCCTGTCGCAGCTCTACTTACACCATAATTTCCTACAGAAAACCCTAATTTTCTGAGGTGTAACTGACCGTTTGGAACCGTGTTAGGGTATTGTTCATTCCCCATTACAAATAGCAAAAATTAGGTGCTAGAAACTCAACAAACTTATTTTTGACCTTCAAAAACTTGTATTCCTGTATTTTTTTGTTAGAAGCATATAAAGACTGTTCAAAGTAGCATTTAAATCTAGTAATCATTGTCTGAGCAGGTAGAGAACTCTGTTCACAGCAATTGGGTAAACACTGGCTTTGTTTGAGGTCACCAAGGTTTGTATCTCCTATTCTTTATTGAAATTCAAAAGGCAGACACTTCAAAGATGGCAATTTCATGCTGAATTGCTTAAGACTTTATACTTAGAATTTTAGCTAGACTAAGGTTTCTCATTGCTGGAACTTCAAGGTTTTAATCTAGGTTCTGCACAGTCTTGCAAACCTCCCAGACTCTGCTTTTCACCCTCTAATCCCAAATCCTTTGACACCGAAGAGTTCCTGAGCTGACTCCTGGACCAGTGGAGGAGCAAGTTACACACTGAGTTACAAATGACTCCACATTCTGTGACTGGTAGTTAGCATAGCATGAGCTAAGTCTGTTTAGGGTGGATTTTGTTCTAGAAAACTTATTATTGGGAAAACCCAGAGAAATAAAAGGGTTTCTGTAGATAACTGCTCGAGTGACTGCTGTTGGCAGGTGGCACAATGCAAAGTATAGCCTTTGCTTTGCATTATGCTGATTGATTTGAGCACTTCCTCCTGCAAAGTGTCATGTGGCACCTGTCACCAGCTTGAATATTTACAATGCCCCTGAAGTCTCCACATGGAGTAGAAGACCAGGCATTCTCATTGTGGAACCCTGATGTTTCTTTAGTCTGAGATGGCATAATAGCATTAGAGTAAGCATCAAGCCCCTTGATCAGTGTAGTAAATGGCTGCTGGTCTTATCACACACACTCAGTTTGCCTGCATCTGCCAGAAGTTTCTGGGCACTGCTCTTTGAGGGGATAAGGTTGTTAACTTGGGTGGTGGTTCAGTCATCCATAAGTTTAATCTTAGTGTCCAGTGTGTTGCAGTGAACAGTCACAGCTGCTGCTGTTGCTGAGGTTTTACAGGCACTTTTTACTTCCACAGTTTTAACTCAGCCTCTACAGAATGTGATAAATAGTATCTGCCCCATGTGTTGTATTTGTCCTTCTGAACTGCAGCTCTTCGGTTGACCCTTGGACAGACATTACTAAAAGCTGCCTTTTCTTGTTCCTTTTTGTTTTCTTTACAGGTGTGGGACTAGCTGCTGCAGTCCTTTCCTTTTGGCTAAATATTTACTACATTGTGATTATTTCGTGGGCCATATACTACCTGTATAATTCCTTCACCACTGTAAGTGTGTGTGGTGGACGGGGTTGGAATTGCTTGTTGAATGTAAAGCAAGGTCATGTATAGATAGCTGATCAGTCTGTCTCACTGTGAAGGTGTGACATTAATACAACACCCATAGAAACCAGTAGGATAAGGCATTTTTTTGCTAAAATAAATAGAAAATTATGAGAAAAACATTATTTTCCAAGAAGGTCAGTGGAGAAATGTAATAAAAGGTTGTTTTGGAGCCACAGGCTTCTCTTTCTTACCCATTTATTTGAAATTTCTCGTCTTGGTCTTCAGAGCCACAGATCTTTCTTTTAGTTTCCCTTTTAGTTTCATTTCTGCCCTGCAATGACAAGCAGGCCTGCTTGCTTCTCTGCTTTCCTGCCAGGCTGCAACTCCCTGTGCTGGCAGCACTGACAATGGTGCTAGTACCCCTTTGCCTTTGAGGCTACAGGCCAGTCATTCCCCTGAGAGATATTCTAGTGCATAACTGGTTTAGTTTTGTCTTCAATAGCAGCCATACAAATGTCAGCTCTTTAGGAATTAGTATCACTGTGATCTGTGTTAATAGTGGAGGGCTTTATTTAAAAAGCCACGTGGAAGAGCTAATTTCATTAGCTCTGAACTTCCATTCATTGCTGTTATTTTTGCCTTTTTTTTAACCTTATTTTTAGCTGCCTTTTCTTTTCCCTTCAAGGATGATTCATCAGCTGAGTTGGACTCATATGATTTGGGGGTTTGGCCATCTGAGGAAGCATTCTTGGTTAAACCTCAATAATTAATGCATTATTGTTCAATTGTTGTCTTTTCTACCAGTTTTGTGCATGCTTGCGTGCTCCTGGCTTTAAAGAATTGTCTCTTGACCAGATTTGCATTAATTACTGCCTGGGAGTGACACAGCCATTTCTTTTTTGTTCAGCATCAGATTTGTTATCCATATGAAAGGTCAGGCCTAGTCTGGCAGGGGTGTGCTGGCTCATGTCAGATGAATATTGACTTCTAATTCCCTTAAAGCCTCTTATCCTTGTATTTAAAATATGCAGTACCCTGATACAACATCTTCTGTGAGAGGAGTTTCCAAGATTAGCCATCAGAAGAATACCTATGTTGTATCTAAATGAAATGAGATTCATTCTAATGGCTATCATGTGGAAGCAGGTTCTACTTCTCAGAGCTGCTGAAAGATATTGTAATGGACACATGTAGAAAATAAGCTTACATTTTTCTGATTGTCACCTAGCCTAGCAGGGAAATGGAAATCTCTGATCAAGAGCTATCACCCTTTATCACTTCTAGTGCAAGAAGAGGTAACAGGACCTCCAGGAGGTCCTTTCTGTTGCCCTTGTTTCTTGCCATGCACTCAATGTACTCCCATGTGCTCAGAGGTGTATCGAACATGTGGGCTGATATATTAAAGAGAGGAAGAGAAATTTCCACATCTGATTCACCCAGCTGATACCATGTTCAGTAACTTCAGTGACAGACATGCCCCCCAGGGAGATCAGTGCACTGCAGACCTCAAAGTGTGTTAGCTCCCCACTCAAACTCTCATTTCTAGGAAAGAGAAACCTGAGGTAATGCTTACTTAAGAAGTGTTTGAATCTTCAGGCTTTTCTCTCTCCCTTTCTTGAACAGACTCTTCCTTGGAAACACTGTGAGAACCCCTGGAACACTGACCGCTGCTTCTCCAACTACACCTTAGCAAATACCACCAATATGACAAGTGCCGTGGTGGAGTTCTGGGAGTAAGCTGACAGTTTTTCCCTCTATCATTCCCGCACACATGTGAGGACGAGCGTGCTGTCTATCTTTTGAATTAGTTGTCAAATACACCATTCTGTTGGCTTGTTCTAGACGCAACATGCACCAAATGACGGATGGATTGGAAAAGCCAGGACAAATCCGATGGCCACTAGCAATTACTCTAGCAATTGCCTGGATTCTAGTGTATTTTTGTATCTGGAAGGGGGTAGGCTGGACTGGAAAGGTAAGCTTAAGAACTACTGTAAATGCCTTTCAATTAAGAATGCCCATTTTACTCATAGTCTGAATATTCTTGAGGTAAGAGGCACTGGGACAGTTTTGCTGGAACAACTTTGAAGTGTTTAATTTCTGTTTTGAACTGATACAGCACCATGGTTTTGGAAAGCTGGCTCCTCTGTAGCTAGGTCTGGCCACAGTCTTAGATCTTGCTCACTTACAGACTGCCGGGCTGTGCCAGGTATAGAATTGCTTGAACATATGCCTCCTTGTTCCCGGGATGGATATTCCAGCTAGTCTGGATAGCAGTGGAGTATTTTGGCTTTAGTGAGAAGCATGCATTTACTGCACAGCTCTTGCTGGACTCAGATACATAAGTGCTGAAGCTGCATTGCATATAAGAGCTACTCCCTTCCTTTTCTTATGCTGATGGAGAGCTGTAGATGGTCCTTGCCACAGGCGTACTTGCATGCTGTGCTTCTTGGAGTTTGGCTGGCTTCTGAGTGCAAAATAGATTCTACTAATGAATTAAAGGAAATTATGTTGCTGACAAATCCTTCCCTAGGAATGAAAGGGCAACAACATCTGCCGTTGGCACATGCTCTTCCCTCTCCCCAAAGTGGCAAGGAAATGACAAGCTGCAGCCATGTTTCAGTGGAGTCTGACCTCGGAGTGTCTTTTTTGTAGGGCTTTGGAAAAGGGAAGAGAGTAGGACCCTGTTTGTCATAACACAGATGAGGAGTGCATGTGAAAAACACAAAAGCAGCTGCCTGAGAGGTGGAGAAATACATTAACGGACGTTGTTCTACAAGCAGGGTACTGGTGGCTTTTGGGAGCTCCCCTTGCTGACTCCAAAGCATGAAAAGCAAGAGCCCCTTATGCAAAAATCCCTTTGTCCCCTCTGTTCCACCTTCAGGGAAGTCAGCAACAGCCACTTGCTTTATAGCCATGGTGTTAGGGAACGCTGCAGTAGGCACTCCCCTTTCCACACCAAGCCTTCCCACTGAGAAATGCTTCATTTGAGAAGTCAGCCTCAGTTGCTGCTATGATACTTTTAGGGAGCAAATATTTCCTGAAGTGTGGACGAGCACAGATCATTCTTCCTTCCACACTTACAATGCCTTTGTTTCTTCCCATCAGGTGGTATATTTCTCTGCTACTTATCCCTATGTTATGCTGCTTATCTTGTTCTTCCGTGGTGTAACACTGCCTGGAGCAAAGGAAGGCATTTTATTCTACATAACTCCTAACTTCAGTAAGCTTTCAGACTCTGAGGTAAATATTGCACCTGTGGTTACAGAAGTTTCACTGCTCCCTGTCCCCCTTGCAGACATCTGACCTGCTCCTCAGGTGCAGGAACAGACTTTTAACACCACTGTTTCCTGCAATCAGGTTTGGCTGGATGCTGCCACACAGATTTTCTTCTCCTACGGTTTGGGTCTTGGCTCACTGATTGCCCTTGGAAGCTACAACCCTTTCCACAACAACGTTTACAGGTAAGCAGATGACTGCACTTATTACCATGGCACCTTCCTGTGTCAGCTGGAGCTGGATCCTGTCTTTCTGTGACCTGTATCATTGAAATAAAGTGTAGGCTCAGATCTGAATATTAAATATTACCTCTAACTAGGAATGGGATGTATAACCACTGTTGCACTAAAGGGAGAGACAGTATGAAATGGAACCCAAACAGAAATCCTAAAAGCATGAAATCTTTTCACAGGAATATACTGATGAATGGTAGCACTGCTTTACCTGCTGCTTAAAGCACCTTACCTTTGTTGCAGGGACTCCATCATAGTGTGCTGCATAAACTCATGCACAAGCATGTTTGCTGGCTTTGTCATCTTCTCCATTGTTGGATTCATGGCTAATGTCACAAAGAGGCCTATTGCAGATGTTGCAGCATCAGGTATCCAATGTATTCTTCTACAAGTTGTTTGGTGGCATCAGTTGGTTTTGGTTTGTCTGTTGTATCCAACTGCTTCATGTGATGGTTCAAAACCCCTCCCTAGAAACACTCCTCAGCTCCCTGTCGGTTCAGTCACCCTGACTGCAGTAAGAGAGAGCATCGTTTCCAGGCACCACCAGCAGTCACTTCACACTGAGCAGAGCTCTGCCTGCCTGCCTCCTGCTCTCAAAGCTTTGGTGTGGAGGGTGTTTCAGCCAGAAACTCATCCGGGCTGCACAATGAACACTAATGACTGCTACTTACAGGCATGCATTCACAAGAGGTGGCAGCACTGTTTGTGACTTCCGTACCCAGCTCAACATCAGGGTGACCCTCATGCTACTGGAATTCTTAAAAGCAAACTGAAAGGAGGAATGATGGTCAGGAGGGTTTTGGAGCCTGTATTTTGAAATTCATTTAGGGTTTTAAATTCCTTTTACTGTTTCTTGTGGTTGAGCCCTTGGAGGTGGATCCATTTCTCACCTCCTCACACTTACAGCTATCATCAGATTTAATGGGACTTTTACTGTGAAGTCATTTTGCTCAGGGCAGTAAGATGTCCATGCAGGAATTCTGCTATTCTTTGCAGTTCCTTGTCTTTCTTGCAGATGAAAAAGCTTAAAGGAGGAGAGCAGATGGCTGCCCTAACCCAGCTGGTGTACCAGATACTCACTTAGCAATTTTGGCCACAGGGAGGGATCTGATAACTGGAAGCTTGGTTGGAAGTCACTGGTGGACAAAACATGCCTTACTATACCAGCAAACACTTCCCCTTGGTGAGGTATTTCCTTTGTTAGAAAAGGAGAGAATCAGAGACCTAAAAATAATCTTCAGTAAAGGACAAATAAAAGACAGCAGAAGAAACAATTTGGATGGCACACACTGTTGTCAAAAACTGCTCTGGCAAGTTAGTGGTGTGTGAAATAAGCCTCCTGGATATCTGACACAGATAGAACTATAACGACTACACCTGCAAACACAACAATATTTTTATATCCTATGAAGCTCCTAAATACTTTGGAAGGTACCAGAGGTAACAGAGATGCACATAACCTCCTGTGGCCATGAATTGCAAAGGATGTTTGGAAACCTGAAACTTTTCATTAAGGCTTCTATTTCTCCGTGTAAGCTCAGAAACTGATGCTTCATTTTTGCACCACGAGAAGTTGCATTGTGATCTTTTACACAGCTTTGTAAGACAACAGTATTATTAAAAGCTGCAGCTGCATTTTGGTGGAATGTGTAACAGAGTCAGGTTAAGAACACATTTATCTCATGTTGATTTTGCTCTCACCACTGCCACTGGAAGGCATTCCAATCATAGGTGCGAGTGCTTCAAAATCTGCATTGCATTTGCTTTGACAGTTGAGGTGTGTAAGGCCAACCCTTCACTGGTCTGAGAGCTCTGTATGTCCAACCAGTACTCACAGGCAAACCAGCCTCTAATGAAAGGAATGGGATGCCCCTTCGGTGAGGCATGCTGATTCTCCTTCTGTGATAAGTTTGCTACAGGTTTCCCTCTTAACCTGAAATCAGATGGCTTCCAGCTATGCTGTGACAGCAAAAACAGCTCCTTCTTTCTCAATAAGGATTTCTGTTCTTCCAACACCACGCCCCCAACAGCGCCTAGTAAAAACACAAATGACAAGGTTTGCCTGGTCACAGCTGGGTAGTTGATTCAAATGTGTATTTTAAGGTAATTAATGGAACAGCAAATGGGAATGCTATAAATGCTGGTAGTCTTCTCCATTTCTGAGCTATCTTTGTTTCTCTTCTGAGCTACTTGGTGCCAAGCAGTAGTTTACAGCTCTCAGTTACTGCTTGAGGCAGAAGGCTGATCAGTACCTGAAGATGTATTCCTACAGGATAACATTCCTTGCCTTTGCTATACAAAAGTTGTCTCTCAGAAGCAGTTTCTGAACGCATCAAGTCTTTTGGTTGGTGGGTTTGGGTTTTTTGTTTGTTTTGGATGGTTCATTTTAAAAGCAAGATGCATGCACTGACTTCTTGGTCAGTGAACACTGATGAAGCTGAAATCCTTGATCAGATGATGCATTCATGGCTGAGTCATTCAAATACGCCAAAACATTGACAGAGCACATCATCACACTGCTGGTCAGTCACACTGACATCTCCTCTCCTGTTTCTCCCCCAGGCCCTGGACTGGCATTTCTGGCTTATCCAGAAGCAGTGACGCAGTTACCCATTTCTCCTCTGTGGGCAATACTGTTCTTCTCCATGTTGCTCATGCTCGGGATTGACAGTCAGGTAAAACTGGTGTAATAACTGTTAACAGAGACACATTTTCTGCAGCTGCATGGTACAAGGTTGGTGCCTGTCTGCATTCTGCACTGCCAGCTCTAAGTGGTGCACGATGGTTTCAGGAATCATCACATAAATGATAGGAGGTATTAAGGAGAGGAGAGACTAAGTGGTTCCAGGAGCCTGGCATAGTGAAAGCCTGATACTGAGACACTTCTGCTCTTTCATGAACTGTTGGAAGCCTATACAAAATGTGCAACAGATTTCTTCTTTGAACTCTTCCCTGTTCAGTCACAGTATTAAGAATACCTTTGCAATGTTCATCAGTGTAGGAGACACTGGGAGAAGCTTGACAAGATTTAGATGCCACAAAGGCGACTTCAGAACTTACCACATGGAGCAAAAGGATGCAGCACACGTTTCATTTTAAGCGTACGAACATCAGGAGCAAATTCAGGGGGCATTAGGCTCATTACTGAGGACATTGTGCATCTTAGTGTGCTCTGAAATCACTTTCTGGGGTAAGGATCAAGAGTTCCTTGGCCCAGGCCTTACCTGAGTTCTAGATGGTATCTGACAACTGAAGATGAGTGGGAGGGCACAACCTAGATGTTTTGCAAATCCAGATAAGCCATTGTTCAGAGTCACTGTTTAGATTAACTGGAACAAAGAAATAATTCAGTCATGCAATCATATAAAAAAGAAACACTGCAAAATGAACAAAAACATCACACAGCGCAAGAAAAAGCACTTTACACACTCAAATGGACTATGTCCAACAAAACCTTCGTTAATCAGCAATACTTTCAACCCAGAGAGCAGCTGTATTGTGAGCACCAGGAAAGCACTCTGTCTTATCTTGCACAGTGTTCTTGGAGGGCTCTGTCAGGGAAGTCCCTTCTGCTGCTGCAGGGTTTGGTGATCTGTGTATGACCCATCACAGGCAGAAGTGTTCAAGTCATCTAGAGCTACCGCTATCAAACCACAGCACCTCACAGTTGTTGGCACAACCCTCACAGCACAGGAAGGAACAGGGGCCTGGCTGGAATTCCTTAGCTTTCAGTAGAGAAAATCCATAATTTTCTATAAATCCACACTGACTTCAGCCTGTGAACCGAAATACACAAAGACCAAGAGGGCATTTCATCCTGCACCATGAAAGGGAGCTGAACATTTGTTTTCTGTTCCTTTGTTTTTCAATAAGCTTTGGGCTTGACATTCAAACCTATTGCTTGAGCTGGGGGGGAAACTACTGTGAAATTAATTGGGTCAAAAATATTCTTGAAAGACCTTGTCTCTAGGCAACTAACAGCTGAGCAAGTCTGATACTATTAAAGAGAATCTCTATCTCCAGGCTGTCATGCTTGCTTCATTTCTGTCTGTCAGTGAAACATTTCATACACTGTCATTTACAGCAACTGTAACTATTGGTTAAGTTCTGATTGCACTGCTGGAAATGAATAGAACTTCACCTACATCTGGTTTTCATCATTTCAGCCATCATAATGGTAACATTCATTTTGAATAGATACATGCAGAAAAGACCTGCAGCGTGGCCACGCTCTGTGTGTGCAGGTGCCCGTCCTCAGCAAAAATCCTCTCTGGGGAATACAAAAATATCTGATTTATTACATATGAGGATCAATCTTGTGTCTTCAGGCTTCACTCACTAATCTGATTACACTGTTCCTGTCTATTGCCTTTCATGTATGTGAGTAAATCACAGGAAGGAGAAGAGCAAGTCTGCAAAGGACCTAGGGGTCAAATCTCCAACTGTAGGTCTATCGTCTTCTACCCCAACAACAAGCACTTTATGTTCATAAAGATCGTGCTGTAGTTCACAGTTAGGAATTCTGAGTATTTTTCTGTCTGGAAATCTAACTGGAGATCTCTGTAGACAGAAACAAAGATACTCAAAATCACCGCTCCCACTGCAGTGAATTTTCATTTATCATTTCATGGCTGCAGCCTGATGCCAGTGATGGAAGCTCCTCCCCTAAATGTAACCCTGCTGCTGCAGTGCATTGCATTGTATTTTATTTGTGACTTTTCTTGCAGTTCTGCACTGTGGAAGGATTCATAACAGCTTTGGTGGATGAGTTCCCAAAGTTACTGCGGAATCGGAGAGAAATCTTCATTGCTCTTGTGTGCATTGTTTCCTATCTGATAGGGCTGTCCAACATCACTCAGGTATGTTCTGTAGTAGAAGGTTATCTTACCTCCAATGGACAGCATCCGTTTTATTTCTCCCATCCCCTGCTCCAACCAGGAATCATGTAAATAGTTAAAGTGGCAGAGATCTATCAATCATCAACACTATCTAAAGTCTTCAGGCAGTAACTTTGAAGTGTGAAACGCCCGAAGTCCATGGTTGCAGTTTGTCCTACTTCATGGTTCAGGTGCCAAGAAAATACACATCTCTCCAGTGTGCCTTCCAGCGCACGAAAGGGTTGCCAGGGATATTCTCCAATGCTGCCTCCCATCTACTGGACTGCAAACTATTTTGAGAGAAATAATTGAATTATTGAACAAAAATGAGTAAAGTGAAATTAAAGCAGTTAACTGAATCCTAGCAGTACTCTAATGTTTGTCAGTATTGAACTCAAGTGTCACAAGCTTTCAACATGTTCACTTTCATATACACTAATATGTCCCTAACCTATTTGCCACTGGTAGTCTGTAGCTTGCATTTTAATCTGTCTTGAAACTGGAGCTCTTGCTACTTATTTTAACACTTCCTTCTTATGCTTTAGGGTGGAATCTACGTGTTTAAGCTTTTTGACTACTACTCTGCCAGTGGAATGAGTCTCTTGTTCCTTGTATTCTTTGAGTGCATCTCAATATCCTGGTGCTATGGTAAACAATGTTTTTACTTTTTCCCATAATTTTTGCACCTCATAAGGATAATTCATCTATTGATTTGTTCCTGTGTGTGTGTTGCCACGCTGAGGGGGGAACTGAGGGTGCCCTTGTTTCATATGCATGTAATTCCACTCAAAGTTGCCTTGTGGAAGGTCCTTCTGCCTCTTTAAAACACCCCATGTATAAGCCTAGAAGTCATCAGATACTAAGTTTTCCAGGAATACTAAAGAGGTGACATCTCTCTCTTTTTTTCCTGTCCCCCTTCCCTGGAAAGCCTGGACATCCTGAGGTGTTAGCTACTGCTGTTCTTGACATAGTGACTTGGGTCTTTTGAGCTCTGTAATGTTCAGCTACCAGAAATGACTCAGTCACTCTAGGACCTTGTAGTGAGAACCAAGCTCCTTCATCACTTGTGTCTTCATAATTGCCCTAAAATATCCAGAAGTCTGGACTGGCAAGCTCTGGGTGAAAAGAGTGATGAATAATGTATCACATTCTTGCCAGAGTATTTGTGCATTTGACCTTAGTTCTGTGTTAGCTCATCCAAGGACCCACTCCATGATTACTAAGGCACTTCAGTTTATACAACAAAACTGATTCAGAGCTAGATAAGTGAAGTCCTTCTGCTTAAGAGGCTAGAACAGCATTTTTTAGCTCAGAGATACCACATGTGAATCCAGCAAATACGAATGGAAAAATACACCAGCTAAATAATGAAGAAATCAAAGCTAAAAATAAACCCATTATTTATTTTTAGAAGATGCTGGAGTGCTGGTAGGTAACAGCAGCAGCAGAAGGGCCACTCCGATTTCATACACAGCTCTGGTGTGTGTACAGCCACACAGGGGAAAGCTGCTTAACACAAGGATGGGTTTGGTTTATTTTTAGCTGAATTGGTACAATATCATTCTAAATCTCTTGTTCTAAGAAGACTTAGAGTTGAAAAGAAACAAGTGTGTTTGCTACATCTGACCTTCAGACGTACAGACTTCCTCATGGGAAGAAGTTTCCTGGTCACTGATTACAGTGTGCTGGAATGAGAGTAAATGATTCTCAGTGCTTTTGAGCTGCACTTTTCTTTCCCATTCAGACTGGTGAAAAATAAGGTTGGGGTCTGTACAGAGCTTCCAGATACACCTCATCATTTATGAGAGGGTCTCTCAAAACCACTGAGACGTCAACTGCCCCAGTTACCTGACATGTTTCTTTACTGTTTCTTATCTCTCTATTTAGGTGTTAACAGATTTTATGACAACATTCAAGAGATGGTGGGATACAGACCCTGCATCTGGTGGAAACTCTGCTGGTCATTTTTCACTCCTATCATTGTGGCAGTAAGGAAACAACTTTTATTATATGATTCAAAGGATGTGAATAAGGTGGCCTGAGTACTACAGTGCGGTCATTTCCATCCCCACAGGTTCAGATTAGCTCTGACCTCATTCCCTTTTGAAGGATTTGAGCAATTCCACTGAAGGCAATAGGCAAAACCCAGTGTCACTAAAGGAAACCTGTGCCTTAAGGCAAGAAGCCTGTGCAATTGCAAGGCTTGTATTAGTCCCCTGGAAATGGTAACGAGTCAAGAGTTTGATTGGTAGAGATAGAAGAATGTAAGAAACAAACATGGCCCATTTCTTGTATTCTTAGACAAAATTTAGCAATCTCTCTGAAGTCTGAATTTTCCATCTGTACAAAAATGCCCACACTTTGTAAACTGGATTCCTCCACAGGCACCATTGTGGTAACAGACTGGGGTTATGCACTGATGTTCTTCTCTCATGGGATTCAGCTCAAACAACGTTGCTACCGGGTTTTCTGGCAAACCTTGCAAGGATTTTGTGCACTGGAAACCACAGTACAGGCTCTTCCCGGCTCCAGCCTTTGTCCAGTGAAGCCCGTACAGTACATTTTGAAATAATCAGTTTACTACATATAATTTTAATGCCATACTGAAAACCTGTAATCAAGTAGACACTATTGCCCATGACACACTGACATTTCTCTGGTAGCCCCATGTAATAGCCATAGAAAAGCAAACAAAGATCACTGAAGAGCGGCACAGAAATGAGTTTATACAGAGGGCTCCTTGATTCATCTCTACCCAGGTGAAGGCAGCTTTCATGTTTCTGAAAACTAGCATTCAGGAAGGCAAAACCCTGCGTTCTGTTGATTTTAGATGATTTTTTATTTTATTTTATCAAAGGTGGCTGGGCAGAACAGTAGGCAGATGACCAACACTGTGTGTAAAAACTTACCACATCTCTTCTGCCTTTTAAAGTCTTCAGCAGAATTTGTTGTCCACAGTAGTGATATGCCAGTAAAATCTGCCTCTCTGCATTCTCCTCTATGGGAATGGGTTCTGCACAGTGCCTGAACCTGGGATCTCCTCTTTCTCTGGTTCAGCTCAGCAGGTTTCCCTGACAGAACGGGCCAGGACAGGAGCCTTGCTTGGGAACTTACAGTTACAAATACCGTGTTTGCAGGTGAAACCAACACAAACACAACCCACGGGTGCTGCTCAGTGGTGCAGTGTACATGGGTGTGCAGTGTTATTCCCCGGGACCCCATCTTTCCCAATAGCCCCCTTCCCTCTGATTTTGTGCAGGTGATCTGAAGACTCTACTAGTACCAGTGGATTCCCCCTACCAGCGTACCTGGATAATCTGAGATGCAGGTTATGTATGTGAAAATAGAGTTGTTAACTTAAAACATGAAGATTAATTCTGTTAAGAAGCTTCTTGGGAAACTGTCTCCTTGTTGCTGAACAATTCACAGTGGTTTTTGAGTTTCACAGGCTAGGATCTGTTACACAGACAAACCTGCAACCACTTACTGAACCGCAGGTTCCATTCTGACTGCCCTTGTTTTCCAGCATGAGTTTGTTCAGAGGATCTGAGCATTATCAAAGCCTCTGGGCCAAGCCCTTCTAGGTGTTGATATTAGAGATGTTAATGCAGAGCCAGGCTTGAAAGAGCCTCCAGGAGTGCATTGCTGGCCAGTACAGTAGAGCTGTACTGATACCATTATTCCAATAAGAAAGTTATTTGAAATGGACAAACAGTTCCATTCCGTGTACACATTCCCAGACCCAAGGTTAACTGAGCAGGGAAGTGGTCAGTGCAGAGGACTGACGTTTGCCTATTTTCTGCAACCTCCACTTGGAAGAGTGACCTGCAGGCCCCATCTACAAGGCAATGCCCAGCGACCATCACCAGGGATCAGAGGATCCTTGCCTCGATGGAAAAGTCAATCCAGACAAACTCTTGAACAGAACACTCTGGAAATCTCATGCAAATCTTCTTTTCCACTGTATTTTGCAGGGAGTCTTCCTCTTCAGTGCTGTCCAAATGACTCCACTCACAATGGGAAGTTACGTTTTCCCAAAATGGGGCCAAGGGGTTGGCTGGTTCATGGCTTTGTCTTCCATGGTGCTGATCCCTGGCTATATGGCATACATGTTTCTAACCCTGAAAGGCTCCTTAAAACAGGTAAGTCTCTCTTTTTCCTGACTGCATGATTTCACCTGTGAGACCTGTGCACACTGATCAGAGGTTGCTGGGCAGGTCTTTTCTACTGTCTGTTTGCTGTGGCCTCATTTGCTTAACCCAGTTAATTTACATTGAGCTGAAAAACATAAAACCAAGGACCAAACAGACCAAAGGCAAGGCAGTGTCTGTACCATCTGTTGTTAAGCACAACTCGTAGCATCAAGTGTCCTTACCTCTGGGATTTGAGAGTTCCAGATGCTTTACAACCCATCTCCTTACACTCAGAAACCAAAGCAGCATTTTACCAAGTACGTAAATTTGTCCTTACTAATACAAGCCACGTTGTCATGTGTCAAGGCAGGTGATGCTCTAAGGAACTGGAATCAAGCTGAAAACTGGACTAAACCCACATAACTCACAGTTCCATGAGTCTGCTCACAGTGATCCTATTTAGCATCCCTCTGCAATGTGTTGCAAGTTACACCTGGTTTAAATTACACTCCCTGCCTTGCTCTGCTGCAACTCAGAGGAAGTACATGTAAAATCTCGGGAGCGTATTTTATGACTATCTGACCTTCCCTTTAGTCTTTATTTGAGGGATTTCTGTGAACAGTTTCTTCTGAAGAGCATTAGAGACCTTCTTCCCATGGCACTGTGCTTTAAGCCTCTCCCAGGTTCCTTATCCCATCTGTTAAAAGGAGATGATACTTCCCACGTAAGAGATGCTTAAATCTGTTTTAGAGTCCTTGGAGAAATGCTGCTCAAGGAATGGGAGCTGGTCACGAAGTTATTGACCCCGCACACTGCCCAGTAACCGCTTGGTTTTCTTTAAGCTGGGTGCATCCTCAGTTTTCCCTCTCAGCCAATAATCTCTCTGTAAGGGGCCCTTTTCCAGCACAAGGGTTGAAACACGCATCCCTGTCTTCTGTGGTTGGGGGAACCAAAGATTGTCAGAATGAATCTGTCACAGTCTCTGGAACATTCTAAAGTCAGCTGACAGAGCCCTCTTTGCAAGGGGGCAGGTGATCCTAAGCAGAACTGACGAGCAATGCTCAGACCTTGAGCCAAATATTTGTCTTCAGCAGATTTTAAAAGACTCGGTGTCTTTTTCTTTCCCCTGCTTGTCCCTAGCCCCTGCACTTTGAGCAGCTTTCCTTTAGTTCGATGGAAACGTTTACCTGCAAACAGAGAATTGTTGCTCTAATATACAGCAGCTTCTGGGGTAGAGTTGTGCAAGACCACAGTAAAAATTCCTCATCTCAGTCTTGCTGTGGGTTAAGGTCTCACTTGTGAAGCATTGACAAATGATCATTAGATAATAGAAGGAACCTACAACATGATGATTAAAACTGGGCTCTAGATACAAGTGTAAGCTGGGCAGGTACTCTTCCTGAGTGGAGAACACAAAAGGACTAGGAAAGACGGAACCGAAGTACAGCAATCTGAACTGCAAGTCTACTTCACTTGTATCCTTGGAGGCAGTAACTCCCAGAACCTGCTGCCAACATTCTCCAGTCCCCTCTGCTCCCTGGGGCAGTCACCATCACGTCTGCAATCCGGCTTTGAGTCCCTGCTGCAGCCTCTGTGCTGTGCCTGCGGCTTGCTGCGGTCCCTCCTCTGCCCCACATGGCCTCTCCTTGATTCTGTTCCCCAGGCATGCTCAGCTGGGAATGCCAGGGGCATAGACTGCTTTGCAGGTGGTCTCCAAACTCACTGTCATGTCCAGAACATAGCTAACACTGGCTCTAGTACCTGTGGCTCACTGCATTTTTGGTCCCTTGGGAGAGACAGGTGTTTCATTTTCATAGAATCACAGAATCACAGAATGGTTTGGGTTGGAAAGGACCTTAAGATCATCCAGTTCCAAACCCCTGCCATGGGCAGGGACACCTCACACTAAACCATGTCACCCAAGGCTCTGTCCAACCTGGCCTTGAACACCGCCAGGGATGGAGCATTTACCACTTCTCTGGGCAGCCTGTTCTAGCATCTCACCACCCTCACAGTAATGAACTTCTTCCTTATATCTAACCTGAAATTAGTTCTAATTCCTGGGCAGAAGTGGTTCGGGTTGCCTTTAAAAATCGGCCACCCAAACCCCTTGGATTTTTGCCTGCCTCACATTTATTGTTCTTTCAGCGCATCCAAGTGATGATTCAGCCAAGTGAAGACATCACTCACCCTGAAAATGGGCCAGACCAGGCCCAGCAGGGCAACTCTGCAAACAAAGAAGCCTACATCTAAACGTCTCTATCATCGAAGCACCAAGACAACTCCAGAAAAACAAAAAATATGGTTGAATATGACCACAAATTCATGTCCGAGAATATAATTACCTACCTCTAGTGGCAAAAAAAAAAAAAAAAAGAAAAAAAAAGGAAAAAAAAAGACAAAAGGTCATCTCCACCACAAGGGAATAGCCATGGGCATGATCCACCACTGCGCGAGCTCACACGTCGAGTGTTCTGTGTTCTCTGGCAACCCATAGACTGTTAATGTTTTTATCCTTTCACAATAATAGTTGCATATCTTGGAATTTGTAAATTGATGTGCCAAGACCTTTTTAATCTACCTTTTAGCAGGACTATTTGAAGTTTCGTGCTGCTGATTTTTAGTAGTTTATCACTATTTCTTACCACTCAATCCCAAGACTGTTATTTCTGACTTTACAGGAGTAAAAATTCAGTTTGGAGTTGTTTCGTACAAAAGAATGAAGTATTTTGTAAACAAGTGATTTCCAGTGAAAGTCTGCCCTTAAACTTGGTTCCAGTCAAGGCCATTTGAAGGGGAAGAGTCTTCCTTCAGTTAACAGCAGACACATTCCTCTATACACATTCCTTTAAGCACTTTCCTAGTGCAGTTGAGTCCCGTGGCTGTTTGGCCGCCCAGCACAACACTGCTCTAAGTGCTACCTGCACTTGTTCTTTCAGGACACCTTTTGAATAAGATTATAAATGTCTTTTAAAATCCATACACTGTTTCTGATGAAAAAGAGCATGTCTTTGTGAATCAATGTGACACAAGCCGCAGATGCTAGAGGCAAAAATATGTCTTTTTTAGCAATATAAGAAATAATATCCAAGAGCTCTTAAAGATTCCCAGGAGTAAAAGAAATACCAAGTACTTGCAACTCGAGCTCAGAGTACTTGAGTTTCTATCATGCTGTTACGATTCTACTATTATCGCATTGCCACCAAAACAGAAACCAAACCAATGGCCTCAAGAGTGAAGCTCGTCCTTGCAGCTCTAACTTAGGGCTCGCTCCACAACTGGTCTTTTGAATCTGTTCGAGGACTTTAACAGTTTCTAATAAGCAAATTATGAAATATGGCTCGATAGCACTTTGAAAACAGTTCTATTTTTATTTACCTATTATTTGTGGTGATGAAGGTGTGAGGGAAGTTGGTTCCATGCTACAAGAGTCTGCAGCGTGGGCTCGGTCGGCATTTGCCACACAGGGAGAAGGGCCGAGGGGTGCTCCCAGTGAATCCCTGTGTGTTAAACGCCACAGCCAGCCCCGTGTGGTGTTTCTCGTTTGGCAGCTACATGACAGACACAACGGATCCTGGAAACTGCAGTAGTTGGTGTTTGATTGTAAATGACTGTGACAGAACTGTGCAATGAAACATGCTTTTCAGCAGATTTTTGTGCAACGTACAATGTTAGATAGCACAATTTATGTAGAACTACTACGTGAAAAACATGTTAACTGTGAATGTTGGGTTTTTCGTTGTTTTTGTCTGAAGGTGACAACCATATTCTTGCAATAAGGTATTATTCTCAGAATGTCAAGCACATCATTGTAGAAATACTATATATATATAATACACATGCATTTCAAAAGGCATCATAAAATCTCCGAGTATGTTTGGTAGATTCTAAACCCTTTCATACATAGGTCAACTGTAAAATACGATGAGACCTAAGCTACATCCTAAACAGCTATAGCTGAAATGCAAAAGTCCTGTAAGTCATTGGGATTTAGAGGAAACCTGTCCATCCCACACCAACATCCCAGATGATCCATACACATCCTAATTGTGACTTTCATTAGACTAAGGATAAAAACTCCAACTTCCTCTTTCTTGTTTAATGTAACCAAGTCCCATGTTGTTCTAAGACAAATGCAGTATTTAATGTTTGATTGTAAACAATTATGACCGATGTTTGACAGACCTGCTCTTTAGCAAAAAGCTGTACAAACGTATCATATAGCACAAACTAGTGTTGTAGAACTACTGTGTGTAAACTGTGAATAGCTGTATCTTTTTTGTAGTACTTGCCCTGAAAGAAAAGATTATTGTATGATCATGTAAGCTTTTTGCAATAAGGAAATATCTGAACACCAAGCAAATCTATCTCTATATAAAAATATATATGTAATATATACATATTCAAAAAATATATACAGAGCCTGTTTAAAAGAGTACAGTATTATTTAGTAAATTGCAACCTGTTCTATGGACCAAATGTAAAATATTTATAAATTAAGATGCATTTTAAATGTCTATAAACGGTGTCATAATTAAAGCACGATTGTTATGTAAGTTTCCAAGAGTTTAGAGGACAAAGAATAAAGGTTATATTATACATTAAATGCTGAATTTTGCAGTGTTTCATTGGCTAAAACCAACGTGTGGCATTCTCTGTTTCATGTATTTATATAAGAACACTTCTATTTATATAACTCTATACATTTAGACATATGCATACATGAATCCTTACTATTTCTGTAGTTAGTACCTGCATTCCTTGCACAGCAGCTGCAGAGGCTGCAGTTACAGCTCTACCTGGCATCCTGCTGCGTGAGCACTCCTGCAGGGAAATGCAGAGCAGGGCCTCGAGCAGCCCTAGGGAACAACCCGGATTTGGAATGCTCTTGGGATAGGTTTCTGGGGCTCCTTTGTGGGACGGCAGCATCCAAAGCCACTGGTTTTGAAGCTGCTACTGAGGAGCTGCAGCCGGTGGACTCGTGAAACAGAGGCCTGATAGTAAACGGACAGATTACACACTTATAAAAGTCATTGCTCTCTGTATCAGCTGCCACTACAGCGTGAGAAGATGTCAAGCAAGTCGCACAGCAGTCAGCCTTACATCTGCGCTGCGCAGTGCCGCTGAGGAGCCGGGTGCTCCTGTGCTCTGATTTTTGTTATCTAACGACAGAACTGGAGCAGGACATCATGCTGGGGAAGAACTGATGCCATCCAGGGAACTTGATTAGAACTGAAAATGCTCCTGATAGAAGAGTCTAAAATCATAGACTTCAAAATGCTGACCTTAGAACAGAGCACTCCAGTGTACAGGAGAGGTCAGATCCTGCTGCTGCTTATCCAATAGGCTGGGGAGGAAGGGCAGCAGCATGTAGGGATCCCAGACTGTCCTGGAAATGGAGGAAGAAGCAACTTTGATGCTGTTGAAATATAGAGGACCATTTAAACCATCTTTAATGTTTAGTTCATGGACATTGTGGTTTGTATTCACGTCCTGCTGCTTTCACACTATACTGGAAGACAGCGGAAGAGAGCCCAGTGTCTAAAGGGGACAAGAAGAAACCTGAAGAGGGGCTCTTGATGAGGGGCTTTGGACAAGGGCCTGTAGGGACAGGCCAAGGGAATGGCTTTAACCTGCCAGAGGGGAGACTGAGATGAGCTCTTAGGCAGAAGCTCTTCCCTGTGAGGGTGCTGAGGCGCTGGCACAGGGTGCCCAGAGAAGCTGTGGCTGCCCCATCCCTGGCAGTGTTCAAGGCCAGGTTGGACACAGGGGCTTGGAGCAAGCTGCTCTAGTGGAAGGGGTCCCTGCCCATGGCAGGGGTTGGAGCTGGATGAGCTTTAAGGGCCCTTCCAACCCAAAGCTGTGTTGGATTCCATGAGCACTGCAGCAGCACGAGGCAGCCCCAGTTGGGTGCTGGTGCCGGGCAGTCGGTGCAGCACAACGGGTCCGGCTCGGCTGAGGAGAAGGGCCCCTGTTGAAGGATATTGCGTTAGTGCTGTGATATTTCCGTGTGCTCCTGGAGGAATTTTCCCTTGCTGTGCTGCAGAAATCCCAGCAGCGATTCAACAAGGAAAATGCAAATAAGGTCACTTCTGCCCTGCAGGGCTGCAGGATGCCCTGGGAGAAAGCCACGTCCTTGCTCCTCAGCAGTATTAGTTCAGCTACATGTGCTTTTATTCTAAAATAACCCTGTGTTGCTTTTGGGGTTTTTTGTTTGTTTTAATCCTGGTTATTATTTCTGGTTCGCTCTGCTCAGGCCACGGAGGCATTACAATTAACTATTAGAACGACTCCCACTGTGGCTGGTTCCCGGGATGCTGGGTGAACCCCAGAGGCATGCCTATGCATTCCAGTGCAGACGGGCTCATGCTTACCACAGGCTGGAAGTAAGCATGGAGTAGCCTCTCCTGCCTGCCAACACCCCTCCTTGGCCACAACCTCATCTGGCAGCTGCCGTTGAGCGCAGCGGGGAGCAGCAGCAATGGGTTGCTCTGAAACATTTGGACATTCACATCTGGGTCCTTTCCAATTCCGGCCAGATTCCCAACGAAGAGGAGTCTCCAATCCACTGTGTAGCTGCCTGCAAACAAACGCACGCGGGCAGCCGTGGGGAGGAAAGCAATGCTACAGAAGCCTCATTTCCCAGGAATCCAAACTGATCAACTCCAAGTAAGCATGAGCTGCAGCAGCTGCCAGCCCACTGTAGCTGCTGCTCTTACCTCAGTGTGGGTGGGTGGCACACTACCATGAATTAACCAGTTTCAACCCTTACTCATCAGAGTGAGAAGGAAGGCACCAGGTTTTACATTCTAAAGGCTGCCTAGGAAGAGTTTAACTAAAACTGATGAGACCGAGGCAGGAGGGAGGGGGGTACCCATATTACCATTTTTCTTTCATGTTTTTCCAGGCTAAAGCTTCCATAGTTCCTCTCTTCTTCCTATGAAGTTAAACAAAAGAAAAGGGTCAGAGCATGAAGGGGAATTAAATGGGGTAAAGTGAGACATGATATTAGTCCTGACACACAGCTCAGTCTTCTTACGAAGCTGATGTGAGTACCGCCACTTGTCAGCCCTGCCTCTACAAGTTGAGGCCAGTCAATAATTCTGCCACTCTTTTTTTCCTGCTGACAGTGCTGGGCAATGAGCAATTATTCCCCTCTGTTAGCACAGAAATCCAATTGATTTTTAGGGCTACAGAGCTGCGTCGGTGCCTTGCAATATCCTTCAGAGCAAACACGTGGCATTCAGTCAACAGCTCAAGCTGACCCCTGTGCACATGAAGAGGCACAGTTGTGCACTCATTCAAGATACCCTACTTTAAAGTTCATGAGTTGTCAGGGGCACCTTAACAGTATTTTGCAACCGAAGACCTGATTATTGTTTTCCCCAGGTTTGCAAATGGTCTCACATTAAAATCAATGGCAAACATTCCGCTATTATTTCTGAACATCAAACAGGCTGAAGTAATCCTGTGAGTCATAAGTACACGATGGTGCTAAACGTGCCCAACGCCGCCTAGAAGAGCAGGACAGGATGGCTCAGGCATTATCATGAGGGCAAAACCTGATGCGTTTTGCCAGCAGCGGTGCTTTAGTCATGTTGGAATGGCTGCTTTACATGTCTTGGGATATAAATGGCTGAAAAGTGTTTATAAACACTTTAAAGTAACAGTGGGTACAAAAATAGCCAGAATGTACATGTCACATTTTTGTCTGGACTCTCTTCTACACTTTACCAACCTGGACGCCCACTTAGTGATGGGAGGGGAGTGAAGATGATGGGAACAAATCACTGTCTCAGTACCTTCAGTCAGTGCAATTTCTGCTCATTATTCTAAAGCAACCTGGGAACATCTAAACGAGTTTAACATAAAGAAAAGCATAAGAAAGAGGCTAGTTTTCATCTACTAAATGGTGTTCCGGACGTCCCTGGCAATACCATATGCAAACACACTTTAACAGCCCGGCCCTCCCTGCAGATGAGCACCCATTGCTCTCCCCACACACGCAGCCAGTTAACATTAACTACAGCTGGTAGGTGACCCCAGTAACCCCAGTTGAGGCAATGGCTTGGAACCAGCCGGTCCCACAGCACGGTGAGGCATGGCTCTGCCCCAGGGCTCAGTCCTGAGAAACAGCTAAGATTCCTGCTGCCAGGATGCACCTCTGGGCATCTCTGGAGCTCCACCAGCAAAACGCCTGTCCCAGCACACTCAGTTATTGAAATAGGAAGTTGGTAACTATTACTTGTGTACGTAAAGCTATTTGGTGCTGCAGGAGGGGCATCAGCTACCCTGGAATGACTGAGGAGTGCTTTGATGAAGATCTTCTCTGAGTAAAACAATAAATCTCTCTGGGAATATAAGCCAGAGCGTCAGGTTGTGTTAGGGAATTATTTCTAGGTCACTTGAGTTCACCGCGCCGCACTGCAACTCCTTCACTGAATGATGACCAGAGCAATTAATCACAACACTGGAGAGAAGCACCAACCTGCACTGGAGGCGACTCACTTTGCCCTACAAGTGGAAGAGCGCGGTGGCTTTTAACCTGCTCTTTACCAGCTGCCAACACATTACCTTTCCTGCTGAGCTTCCCCCAGACTTAGGCTCAGGCTGGGGGGGATAAGGGTGACCTTTCCCAGCCTGGTTGCTCCTGCTGGGATCCTGTCAGGATCTGCTTCAAAATCAGACTTGGATTTGGGTTAAAACCCACCCCACCTCCATCCTCCTGCACTGCTTGGGGTAAATGAGCCCCTTGTTCTGTTCCTCTTGCTCCTGAAGACTCTGAGCTTCCAGCAGCTGACCCCAGTGACTGATCAGGTCCAAGCTGGGAACAAGCTAGAGAAGAAAGACTGTTCAGCCTGGAGAGGAGAAGGTGTCATGGAGACCTCATAGCAGCCTTCCAGTATCTGAAGGGGGCCTATAGGGATGCTGGGGAGGGACTCTTCATTAGGGACTGCAGTGACAGGACAAAGGGTAACGGCTTAAAACTAAAACAGGGTAGTTTATATTGGATATAAGAAAGAAGTTCGTTACTGTGAGGGTGCTGAGGCACTGGAATGGGTTGCCCAGGGAGGTTGTGAATGCTCCATCCCTGGCAGTGTTCAAGGCCAGGTTGGACAGAGCCTTGGGTGAGATGGTTTAGTGTGAAGTGTCCCTGCCCATGGCAGGGGGGTTGGAACTGGATGCTCTTAAGGTCCTTTCCAACCATTCTATGAGTCAATGATTCTTGCACAACTGAATCCCCACTGGTACAGCTTACCTGTGAGTGAGGTCTGCAGGGGATCACTGGGGAGACTTCACAACACAGGGAAACAGCCGGACTTGTGCTCATGGGGAATTGCTCTATGTTGAGCTCTTTCTCTTCCATCATTAACTTACAACATAACTACCTGAGGTGTGGCTTGAGCAGTCACTGCTGCACCACACACTGGGTACCCTAGGTAAGAAAGGCTGCAGTAATTCAGACATGCCAACAACATGCACAAGCTTTTCTTCCTTCCAGTGCCCCATGTTGGCCCAGCCCACACAGACCAGGGCAGCAATGAGCTCCCCACCTTCTGAGCAGCTGGTCTGGCTGAGATTGCCCCTGCTCATTGCCAGCGGTTGGAACTGGATGAGCTTTAAGGTCCCTTCCAACCCAAGCCAGTCTGTGACTATGAAATAGACCTGCACAACACCCCCAGCCTGAAACACCCGAAGGCTCTAACACAGTGAACACCTCCATGCTCTGCCTGATTGAATCAACTCTATTCAGCCCTGTCCAATCTTTCATTTCAAGAAGGATGTATTAGAAAAGCCAGTTCAAGCTTCCCAGCTCTGATCAAATGTGAGTGAGGGAGATAGTGGTAATCTCCAGCAGCAGGTGAAACGCTGGGAGATACTCCTTTTAAAATGAGGAAATAAAGGGGGAAGGTCTCACCCAGCTACCAAACGCATTAACAGAGGTTTATCACAGATCTGCGGCATCCGTATCGATCTATGATAGTGGCCTTTCTTTTTCTTCTCTTTTTTACTTTCTTTGGACTAACCAAGGTAAGACAAAGAAAACCAGAGTGACTGTGACAGGGATTAAGCCCCCAAAGCACTGCTTTATAGCACCACTGGTTGGGGTTTGGAGGGGCGAAAAGCCATACACTGGAATGCCTGCAATTGAACAATAAAACACAAGCTTATGAGCAAATGGTGCAACAAAACAAGTCTGGAGACATGAGGGTTTTGCTGTTGGAGCAGGGTGATCGTACTCGGTTCCATCATTCAACTGTCAGCATGAAACATTGTGTGTGTGCTGCTTTTAAGCTTCTCATGTTCACAAAATGCTCCCACAAATATGCTAAGGGTTTTTTCTTAGTGCTTTACATACTATGCCTTACTCCACATTCAATATTTAATGATCTGGTTTCAGCTCATCCTTTCCTTTCGTAAGTGACAGGCTTCCCCAGGGGTTTCTGGCATGCTGGGTTTGTATTTCCACACTCTGCTTTGGTTTTCTTTGTGTTCTGAAGGTAAACTCTCCAGGATTACGAAATCAGGACTAGGGGTGGGGGCTGGTTTTATTTACTGCTGGCTTTTCAGGAAACCCTGAGTTTAAAATGTTCCAGGATTACTGCTATAGGAAAAGCCTCATGAGTAGCTTACATTAACATAAAAATGCAAATCCAAGGAATGCTATTGCACCATCACACTGCTGTCAAAGTGCAGGCCCTTTGAAAAAGCCCTTTCTGCATCAGGAGTACACACTGGTGTGCCCTGCCCCATCCCTGCCTCTTTTTTAGCACCGATTGACAGCATGGTTTCTGCAAGAGCCACTTGCCCTGTTCTGAGCCCTTGCGCTGCCACATGCAGAGCTCCCCTCTTGAAGCAGGGCCAGCAATGAGCAGAGCCCCTTGTGCACCGGGTGCTGGGTGCTGAGGAGGGTCCTGGAGCCAGCAGTGAGCAGAGCCCCTTGTGCACCGGGTGCTGGGTGCTGCGGAGGGTCCTTGAGCACAGCGCCGGCAGCGAGCAGCTCAGGGGCTGTGACATCAGTGCAGGGAGGGAGCAGAGTGCAGCCCATGGTACATTAACCAGGGAAGTTGGGAACTGCACAACTCAATGGGCTGTCAGAACAATGTTCCTCCGATGCTCTGCACAGACCAGCATTTTGTCAGTGTAAGTACACATGCCAACACTGGCTAAGCCTTCAAACAAGCCGTGTACATTTTATTAGTGACTGATGTAAGTAAGGGCAGGAAGGAAGAGGAGGAAAATTCATTTTCCTTCAAACCACTAATAAACAGATCCGCCGGAGAGCTGGGTGGCCTGCAGCCTGCAGCTCCCATCCCAGGGCCAGCTTGTCTCTTTGGCGCAGTGAGATGAACAGTTTCAGCTCAGGTCTCATGGACAATGTTCACCGTTTAAACTGACCTCATTTGGGTCTTCTGGGGCAGATGCTGCTCTCACAGGCCCTGGCACCATCCTCATGAGTTTTAAAGTGAAAAACTGTAGCTTCCGTGGTTGTATGAGACCTCAATTAGTTGCACACAGCTTAACTCTGAAAGCAATTCTTGTCACCAAGGCAGTTGTCTGTATCTGCTCAATGCAGTTTATCATTATTGCTGTTCCTGAAGCAACCCTGAGCTGCTTGGCTGGGCCAAAATCTCCCTAGCTTGAACACTGCACAGACACAAACCCAAGAGCAGCACTTGCATTACCGTAGCTTTCAAGATAGGGCAAAAGGTTCATTCACTAATCTCCACTTACCTGCTTGCTGCTGCTGTGAATAACACATCCAAGTCCGAAGTACAGCAATGACCAGTGGACCCATGGCAGTGCAACATGGCCATGTGGGGAAGGAGAGGTTCAGGTCGCATTTTTAAATTCCATGAGCCTGTGTTGCAAGTTAATCACAGAATCCCAGACTGGTTTGGGTTGGAAAGGACATTAAAGCCCATCCAGTTCCACCCCCCTGCCACGGGCAGGGATACCTCCCAGCCTGAGGTTGCTCAGAGCCCTGTCCAACCTGCCCTTGAAGTTGCTCCTCAAAAGCTTCCAGTAATTCTGCACGTGCCTCGACAAGGTGTATTAACCCACAGGACCCCAGAGCAGGCTCAGTGCCGGAAGATCCCCCTGGTACATTGGTGCAGCTCAGTAGAACCACCCTAAAGATCTAATGGGAACCAGATGAGAACCCGCCTCGCCACCTACAGCTCTTCTACAGTGCCCTAGAGCATTCAGGGGTTTGCTCCTAACAGCCAAGACAACCACCTGGG